CATGAATATATTTCTTTGAGGTTTCTGATTTTCTCTGAAATAACTCGAGTTTCATCTGGTGGCTCAATAGAAAAGTGAAAAGATGTGTCTATTTTTTCATCTGGGATTTTGATTTTCCTTATAATAGCTCAAGTTTCAACCGTCATTTCAGATTTTGATCGGACAGTTAAAATTATGTGTGCAGTTGACCCTCTCCATTTATCGATACAGTACATTGTTTCAGCATTTTCCTTGTGATGAATTACTATACTGAAAGGTGGTGACCACTTTAATCTTTTTTTTTGTTCTCATATCATTTGCAGATTTCAGAACTGCGAACTTCGAACCATGGTTCTTGTTGACAGAAGGTTTGCGTCTCTAAAACCTATTTGAGCGAATCTATGACCATATGTTTTGATTGCTGCTGAATTTGCTACCGTGCAGCATGGTAGGGTCGGATTCTTCAGCAACTGATTATCTAGGAAAAAATCCAAGTGGAGAAGATGCGCCAAGTGACGTTACATGTACTACTCCAGATGGATTGCCAAACTGATGATATTCCAAGCAGTGGCAATAAAAAATGTTCGAGTTTGGGTTGCATTTACGATTCTTTCAAAGTTATGTTTTAGATCATCTCATTTGGAGCACTTTGTGGTTGACTCCGAATTTTATCAGATTCTTGAAGAAAGTATACCAAGGCAAATTTAGTTGTCTGAAGGTACAAGCAACTGCTTCGATGCCTTACAATTATCAGCAAGTATTTGTCCAAATCACATTTCATACACATACAATATAAGGTATGTTTTTACGATTGATTACTACCGGGGTTTCGAACTTTCAGGTAGTTATGTCTCCAGCTGCCGTCTGGTGGAGGTTTGTACTCTGTCCATTTTGTGATTCATCCAGTACGTTTACTCTTTTCATTTTTAACCTTTATACTATAGTCATTCCAGACGGCAAGCATGTAAAACTATTTCCTTGTATGTTAGTTAATAATGTGAATTTTATCAGTCTTTTCAAAATAATCGTTTAAAATCTCATTCGACTGTAGTACTAGCAAGGTAAGACTAGACTGCGTACACCAGACTATGTCAAATTAATTGAAAATATGGAATCAATTATATCTTAAATGAAAGTTAGTCATCCCTTTCTTGAAAGCAATAATATCATTGGTACGTTTTCCTGTCTAATCTTTAGATGAGGATTTGTCTAGTTATTAGCTAGCACACTTGCAAACAAAATAAGTGGCTCAGGATGCAACATCATTTTAATGCTGAAAATTCTTAACATTCGAATTAAATCAACCCCTTTTTTATAATTTCCTAATCCTGGACCCCTCTTTCATACACAAACAAAAAATGAAAAAAATAATTCGATCAAATCAATCAGCTAGCTTGTTTCTTTGCAAGAAATTAGCTTAATGTGCAACTCTCATTTGAATATTTGCTACTACCTTGAGATCTTACACCCAAAATTTTGCTATGACTATCATGCCTTCCTACTCATAGGGGCTTGGCACTTTCCCAATGGTCTGGTGTAGGTCGTGCTCTTAAGCATCATCTAGTTTCTGGTTAGTAGGGATGCAATGGGGAAGGGCAGGACGAAGGCAGGGCGGGTTGAGTTTAACTGCAAAATTTTAAGCTGCCTGCTCCGTCCTGCATAACAATTTTTGTTATTTTCAACCTGTCTCGCATAAATCCGCTCCGCATGAACTGGCCCTGCATAAATTGATTAATATTTTCCTTTTCTAGGTAAGTTTAATACTAAAAATAAAATTCATAAAAACAAATTGATTTTTTCATTTAAGTTATATTAATTTACTAGATAATGACTTGAATTTTTATTTTTTTTAAATGTCTATTGAGAAGCATGTAAGAAATTGTATTAGTTTTGATTGAATCATTTTCATTTACTATATTGAATATCTTAGAAACTTCAAAGAAATATCTTAATAGATAATGCTCTATCACTCTTATAACATGTAAAATATTAAAATTAAGTTTGAACCCGAAAAAAATATTCGCAAGCCTGCAACCCACCCCATCTGCATTAGTTTCTAAAAAACCCACTTCAACCCGCCCCACATCCCTCCCCACCCAACATAACCTTAAACCCACATCATCCAGCATAGCCTTAAACTCATCCCGCCTCGCCCCATTTTCATCCCTAGTTTCCGGGCTAGTTTATTCGGGAGGTATCTAATTGATTAAGTACCTCAATATGGTGTATCTTCTAGGCATATACTACACACAAATATAAAAATAAAATGTTCTTGGGGACTTGATTGATGTGGACGCAATTAAGCAAGGTTCAATTCTTAGTTGTGTTAGTTAACCAACTCTTAAAGCATCAGACATATCATAGGTTATAAATCAAATTGACATCCCTTTTGATCTTTTTAAAAAATATAATATTAAGGTCTGCCTATAAACTCATTGCAATTGAAGGTGCATTATTTCATCGATCAAGTGACGTTGATAAAGACATCATTTTGATTCTAATCAATTCAAATCATCCAACTTGCATAAATAAATTAAATAGAAAGCAACGCAAAGAGGGAAGTCCCTTTCTTTGTTGAAAAACATTGAAATCAAGAAAAAACGTAATTTTTTTAGATAATAATTATTAGTTGTTGGCCATCTGATAAATTACTCCCTTTATTACCAATCTTTATATACGCAGGCTTCTCTTCAGACATACATAAGACGCTATAGGTCATACACCAAAATATTAATTATGATAATATATGAACATGATGAATATTTAAGCAGATCATACACCAATTTCCAACTGCTTTAATATTTAAAAATTTGTACTAACAAGAAGCAGACAACCCCAAGTTTTGTACAACCCTCCGAACTACGTTAAAAAAAAAGTATCACAAGACGATAAAAAGGATTTGTCAATGCGTAAAATAATAACACTAGCTACTTGTAATAAGTTAGTCCATTCTGATCATCTTGCTATAATTTCTAACTATGGTAGCAACGCGTTTCTATCTACTATGTCTGTACCTGATTAAGGATATATATGTCTATATATAATATTAACCTCTTTAATAAAAAAATATAATAAAATTGTAACCTAACTCAATTAGTCATAAAAAAAAATAAAAAAAATAAAAAGGAAGAAACATCTTCATAATTAGTCTCACAATTGAAACATTTTGATAAGTCACAATGAGGTCCCACCATGAAAACGAAAAATACAATGCATAGTGTATCCAATATGGCACCATCATCATCATCATCCATTACCGAATTTTTCAAATTATCAACTCTGCTTGAACTTGCTCATATTATCGACTTCACATTTAAATAAAGTATAAAATTATCGAATGTCAATCAAAAATAATTCTCTTATCTCAATAAAAATAAGATTACATATATCTTATCCTCCTCAGACTCATCTGCAAAATTACACGAAATTAGTTATATTTCGTTGTTGTTGGTATCTAACCTCTATTTTCTATAGTATTATTAATTATTATTGCAAGGATAAATAAATTATCTTTGTATAAATCCAATCAATAAGAAAATAATCAAATTATATCCAGAGATTAAAAGACAAGTGTCCCTTATATTTGCTGCTGCATCACCAAGCTTCACCCCCCCGTACGTTTTGCTCCAATTTGTCTATTACTTTAGTTTTCTCTATGACCCTACTAAAATCCACCATAGATTAATTACTATTTAATTCTTTTTAGTTAATTAAAATTTTCGAAAACTCCAAAAAAAAAAATTGTCTTAAATGTAACGTTATAAATATGGAGTATCTTAGACTAACTTTGAAAATTAGTAATTTTGTGATATATTTCTTTAATGATTCTTAGTGTAGCATAACGGTTATTAAAGTAGATAACTTTGAAAACAAAAGGAATCGAATCTAATAATGCATATGTTAGGCTAAAAAATAAATATATGTTAGGTTAATTCCACTATTTGTCTAGATTGAATAATGACACCTCGTGATTGTACTAACGAAAATTTAATTCCAAAAACTTAAACGAAGGCTCAAGTTAGATCTAATAGTACCATTTCTATAAATCTATTGCTTTTTGTATTTCAATTGATTTGTCTGAGATTGATCTGACACGAAATTTTTTTTAATAATTTTTTTTTAAAGATTTTATAAAAATACGAAGAATATATTAAAATATTTTTTAATTTTATGATCTTAAATATGTTAATTAAAAAATTATAAAAAAAGAAGAAGAGAAAGACTTTTAAATAAATAAAATAAATAAGATAAACAAATTGAAAACATAAAAAGATACTCACAAATTAAAGGGTTAGAAATTGATCCTCGCAAACAAAGCAAGTGTTTTATATAGCTAATCGATTGAGTTATTAATGGCATGTTTGGCCAAAAATCTTTTTTGCTTTCCTTAACAAACTTGTATAGTCTTGCATGGTGCAACTTGTCACTCCTATTTTTTTTTATAATAAAAAATAAATTTGAAAGAAGTACAAAAAAATTCCTTAATAAAATATTACTATCATAAACAATCTTTCTATTTTACATAAATAATAATAAAATGTGTATATTTTGTCATTCTCATACTCCACTACAATTATATTTGAATGTATTATTATTAAGTTAAAGGGTAAAAAATATACTAAAAGTATCCCACATAAATGAGTTTCATATGTGAACTATTAAGAGTATGAATAACTTATCTGAATTATTACCAAATGATTAGCAAAAAATACCTAGACATTGCTTAGGCCAAAGAATTGCTTCTAGGTGTATTTGTTCATAAAATCTTCGTCCACTTGACATATATAATAACTTGATTCGTTAACATATTAATTTTTTAAATACATTTTAAATTGACTTCTATAAAAACTTTCTTTCAAATAAAAAATATCGAGGTCATGCTACTACACAAGATATCTAAGCACGTTTATTTATAAAATCTTCGTCTACCTAATATATATTACGGCTCTATTTGTTAACACATAAATTATTTTTTTTACTGTATTTTAAAATTAATTCTTTAAATTTTCTTTTAAGTCGAAGATATCAATGCCATGAGACCAGACCACGGCTACCTTCTTTTTCCAACAAATACTAATACCACGTGGACCCACCTGAACACTTCAACTCAGTAAAATAAAATCCAGCCTCTCTTATTTCTCTGCCCTGTTTTTCTACCTTAATACTCTGCTTCTTCAACTTCCCATGGCTTCTCTAAATTCCTCCATTTCTTTGTAACACTACCAAAGAAAAACCTCAAATTCTCAAAAATTATCAATCCATGGAGAACTACTCTTATTCTTCATACCCAGATTCTGTTAATTCATCCCCACGTTCCCGCGAAATCGACTGCGAAAACGCTTCATGGGATGATCAACCACCTTCTTCAAATTCAAATTACAAGGTCAAATTCATGTGCAGTTATGGTGGTAAAATACTACCGAGACCCCATGATAATCAGCTCGCTTATGTCGCCGGTGAAACTAAAATTCTCTCTGTTGATCGGAATATCAGATTTTCGAATCTTGTTGCTAAGCTTTCGTTGATTTCTGATTGTGATGTTTGCTTTAAGTATCAATTACCTGGTGAAGACCTTGATGCTTTGATTTCAGTAACTAATGATGAAGATTTAGAGCATATGATGCTTGAATATGATCGTCTTTATAGGGGTCCTGCTAAACCGGCGAGGCTCCGGTTGTTTTTATTTCCGTTGAGTACTCCGGCGACGAGTACTTTTGGTTCTACTGACTCGAAAACTGAGAGTCAGTGGTTTGTTGATGCTTTGAATTCTGTTCAGTTGCAAAATTTGGATGTGAATTCACCGACGGCTGTTTCGTCGGCACCGGCGCCGGCGAATAATCCGGATTTTCTGTTTGGGTTGGATAAAGGGCAAGTTCAACAACAACAACCTCCACCGGTGAAGCTACAAGACCCAACTCCACCACCGCCGGTGCCGGAGGTTTTTGTTAAGGATTTTGCTGGTTCCGATACTGGATCGGAAGATCGGCATATCATCGGAGAAAATGTTATCTCGCCGGCGGATTATCAGAGACAGATTCATGAAATGCAGAGGCTGCAGCAGCATATTTCTAATCAAGAACAAGCTATGTATAACAGGAAGATTGAGGAATCTATTCCGCGAATGTATCCCGGAGAATACTACCAGCAAAAAGCTCCGCCGCCGCAACAGACGGCGGTGCCGGTGACGAATTCGGCCAGTTTTTGGCAGGAACGTCATATGACTACTGGACCATACCCTGCATCATCAGTGCAAACTGAACAGCCTGTATATATAGTTCAAACGCCCGCCGGAGTTTATCAAACTCCGGCTATGCGACCGGTGACCAACCAAATGGGTGGTCAGGCTTATTACGGCATGCAGCGCGTGATGCCGGAGGTTTACCGGGAACAGCCGATGTACGGCGGAGTTCCACCACAACCAACAATTCAACAGCAGCAAATGGGAGGAGCTTACACGTCGGAAAATATGGGGATGGTGCGGCCACACGCGCCGCCAGAGCCAACATATACACAAGTTGGGTATGACAGTGTAGGGAGACAGGTGTATTATACTGCACCGGCGGGTGTTATGCAACAGCAAATGCAGCATCCAGCAGTGGCAGGTTGGCTAACATCAATTAACAATTGTGTGTTACATTAGCAAGTGTTTAATTTCTTAAACTTAGTTTAGATTTGTGTTTAATCAAACATTAATCACTTGCATATCCCAATCCCACGAAAACATTACACAAAACATTTCCAAAATCACATAATCCTATTTTCACTTAATTAAAAATTTAATTTAAAAGCATGAAAGACATTAACGATAAACATCAAGGCTTGCCAATAATTCTACCATCTGGATTCAACGCGCCACCACTCTGCCTCCCATCCCCCGCCGCTGCAGCGGCGGGGGATGGGAGGCAGAGTGGTGGCGCGTTGAATCCAGATGGTAGAATTATTGGCAAGCCTTGATGTTTATCGTTAATGTCTTTCATGCTTTTAAATTAAATTTTTAATTAAGTGAAAATAGGATTATGTGATTTTGGAAATGTTTTGTGTAATGTTTTCGTGGGATTGGGATATGCAAGTGATTAATGTTTGATTAAACACAAATCTAAACTAAGTTTAAGAAATTAAACACTTGCTAATGTAACACACAATTGTTAATTGATGTTACATGAACACAGACATCCTAAAAAACATAAGTATGCCATGATGTAAACAATAACTAGTTACTTCAACATCACCCCCAAGACATTTACGCTAGTGTTTGATCATAAATTTTAGATCATATCAAATTAGATTTTGAAAATTTATAAATTTATCATCAATAGTAAAATGAATGTCTTGAAACAATTTTCAAGTTTTAAAAATTACAAATTTTAAAACTCATTTTTTAAATTACTATCATATTTAAAGTTAGCTTACATCAAATTAGGAGTAACTTTATTTCTTAATTCACGATCAAACATCATGTTCAAATTAGGAGTAACTTTATTTCTTAATTCACAATCAGGCATCATGTTCAATCGAATCATCCCAATTATTAGTGTTACGCAATATATATTAATTTTGAGGTGACCGAACATTAAGTTATTAGTATTCCTAAAAGAGAATAAGACCAAACACGTTCGGCGTAGAGATAAAGCACTTCCAATCTTGTTTGATTCTATCTACTAAAATTTTCAAAGAAGCATCAATATGGAGTATTGTTTTGCAAAAAGCTTTATTACTGAAAAAAGTAATTAGTCTATCGTACGTTTTTCTTCCTTTCTATACCTAAGGAAAGAAATAAAAAAAGGTACCAAATAGCTATTTGAGAACATTATTCCAAAAAGATAATATGATTTCGACCGATAATCGATTTGAATTTTCAACTAATTTTTGAAATTGAGTAACCATTTTCCAATGGCAACTTTTTGTTTTACGTGAATTGGCAATTGAACGTGGAAGGAGTTTTGAAGAGCCACTTGTGACTGAAAAATCGTAAAAAGTCAGCATAATTGATGCCTAATTAAAGAGAGAGCTTCATGTTGAAGCAATGAAAATAGGTACGTCAGTGTTAGTAATGGAATCATACTACTCCATTTGCTAGCTAGGAATATGAAACAAGGCCACTATTGTTGACTAACCAACACCAAATTGCATGATGATACTACCGATAGATATGGCGCAATGAATGAGGTTGTTAAATTTTAATAAAAAATTTTAAATTCGAGTCTTGAATATAAAAAATTATTAGTAGAAAGTGTTTTCTTTCAAATGAGGTCATATATAGTACGAATTCAGAATAGTCGAGTTTCAGAATCATTTGTAGAGAGTGTTTCCTTTCAAATGAGGCCCTATACAATACTAGTTAAGAATAGTCGAGCTTCAAATTAAATCATTAGTAGAGAGTGCTTCCTTTTGAATGAGGCCCTATACGATGTGAATTCAGAATACTCGAGCTCCAAAATCATTAGTAGAGAGTGTTTTCTTTCGAGTGAGACCCTATATAGTGCAAATTCAGAATAGTCGAGCTCCAAAATCATTAGTAGAGAGTGCTTCCTTTTAAATAAGGCTCTATACAGTGCGAATTCAGAATAGTCAAACTCCAAAATTATTACTAGTAGAGAGTGCTTCCTTTCGAATGAAGTCCTATACGGTGCAAATTCAAAATAGTCAAGCTTTAATATAGATATCACCATCAGATGAAAAACCAATAAATAAATAAATCATGATTATATATAGCATTCACCATTATTTAATTTGTGCTATTTATCATACATCACTTTCATCTGATTGGACTAAAATAACACCATTTTTCTTCAACAAGAGAAAGCATATGATTAAGGTTTAGAATAAATATGGCAAATGAAGGATATATGTAAAGCATATATTTTGTTGGTCAGGACTTCGCTGAACAAACTTTTTCTCACCTTTAAAAAGTTGACATTCTTTTATTTAAATTGGAAATAAATTAAAAAAGGATACCACAAGAAAAAAATAATTAGACAATTATTCTTCTTGTATAAAGTCAAATCAACTAATCCTACTGCTAGGTAGAGTTTACTGATTAAAATAATAGTTTCACTGAATAATTGTTTGGAGATATTTACTCCAATAAGAGGAAAAAAATTCCAACTCTAAGGTATGCTAAAAGCCAAATATTTATGTAGTTTGTTTTGAAATTATTCTCCCTGGTCCATCTTTACTTGTTCAGTATTAAATTGGTATATTTCTTAATGAATAATAAATAGAGTGACACCCTGAATGAGGCCTTACGTGGTACAAATCTAAAATAATTGAGTTCCAATACGAGTATTGGACAGCAGATGAAAAATAAAAAGAATGACAATTTTACTATATGCATTGAAAAATAGCTATAATTAATTATAAGAATAAATTAAATAATAAATTATTTTTAAATTTGTCAAAGTGAATATCCATTTATAATATAATTGAACAAGTAAAAATGAACGGAGAAAGTATTGTACATTTGCATACATTAATATTCTATTCACATGTGTCTTTTAACAATTCCCCAGCCAAAAAGTTACTCGTTTGTGAATAGATAAAGATGTCATACTCTTCTTTCCTTTTCTCTGCCAACCGACGCCCTTTTCTACCTTCCATTCTTCAATTGCCAATCAATATTTCCTACCACAATCATCGAAGGCGTCAATAAAATTAGCTTATAAAAATATATTTTTACTTAATTCATTTTAAGTTTTTGGAGAGATATTTTTAAGATCGGACGAGTTAATAATTCATTCCAGACATTAAATATAGTTAATTTTAATTCGTTCTCATTCAGTTAAATAAAATTATTGATCATCAATTAGTAGTATAACTTATTTTAACCTATCTTAATTCAACTCGATCGTCACAACACTCCCATTTAGAGCGATAACAAATAATAACGAAATCATTTATATGCTGGCGACGTGAAAACTTGACACGTGTAATATGTCTCTTTCTCTGTCAATGATGAAAATGAAAATGATTCCTGTACTTGATATAATATTAATTTGAATTGTCGCAATCTTTTCTTGCTTCAAAATTTTAAATAGATCTTTTTAGTTTTTTGTTCATCCTTTTTTTTTCCTTGTAACATAAGTAAAAAAAGTTGACAAGATCTACTGCAAATTGTTATCTTTACTTTCCTTACCCCTCCCCCCCCCAAAAAAAAAAAAAAAAAAAAAAAAAAAAAAATTATTTTGGGCCATTGCAATTTTTTCGCAATAATAAAGCATAGATATTGAATTTTTTTGACTTCTTTATGTTTTGAACCTCTTTAACGAAAATTCTTGCTCCGCTAACGTAACCATGTATATCTGGAGTAGATTAAAGAGTATTAGTACTATAAACATTCTTTCTTATGCAAGACAAAATGTAATTCTTGTTGGAATTTTTTTACTTGTCCCGTATTTGAATGAGTAATGCAGTTAAGTCAGCTAACAAGACGAGAGTCGGAAAAAGTGAAATTTGGGAGAATGATGGAGGAAGATTTCAGTCTTAGAAACTTCGTTGGGCTTATTGAATTAATTGGGCCTGTTATATTCAGTCTTCTTGGACTATTGTTTTAATAGGCCCTAAATCCAGCTAATCTGAACAATTAAATTCTTAGGGCTGTATATTCTTATGAACAATATGCCAATAAATATTTAGGCATTGTATATAAGTATATATCAATATCCCAATTCTATTTTTAGCTACATTTCTGAGTTTAATAGATATAGAACATACAAATATCTTGATGAAAGTCTCAAGGGGTGTCTACATCATATATATATATATATATATAATTATAGTTATCGAGTTGATTGTATGTAGAGTATTATAAAAGAATATTAAATTTCATACGTACTCTATTTTTATTGGCTTAAGGTTTTGAACATCTATAAGCCGAGGTCTATCGAAATTTAAAAATAACCTCTCTACCTTTATAAGGTAGGAGCAAGGTTGCGACACATTATCCTCTCCCAGCTCCACTTACAAGATTACACTAGATATATTATTATTAGTAGTAAAGTTTTGAATTTAATTTTAATTAGAAACCTTCAAATGTGATTAAAGTCGACTATACTTTTAAAAATTGTCCCTTCCGATAATCCAAGATGATATTTTCCTACAAGTAATATTGGTAGGACCACAAAATTAATAAATTTTGACACCCATTGATAAACTATTAATTAATGGGACAAGTGGCATTAATTAAGTGCAGAAGTTAGTTATTAATAGTGCATAGAGAGTCCATACAGAAACACTGAATAATTTATTTTCATTTGTACTAGTTTTCGTTAATACATTTACACCTAAAATTTGTTATTAGTGTATAAGAGGTGATAAATATCCCAAATTAGTTAAGATGTGTACCTGATCCAAACACCACGATTATTAAAAAAAATAATGAAAGTGGAGAAGTTAGTTGACAACTTGACTTAGCATTCTTTAATATTTAGTACATAATTGTGGCGTATTTTTGTGGATGTTACGTTTATGTGAAGAAAATCAACAATATAATATAGTTTGGTGATGCAGTCACGTATTGTCAACCTTATCAAGGCCTAATAATATTGTTTTATGCACTATGATTGTCCAATCCTTTTTTAATATTGCATTAAGTTTAATACTATAATTTATTGTAGATATATTTTAATTTTTTTGTTCCATGAACATGATGAAACATTGCATTCTTCCTGGATTATTGGTGTTACAATTAACAATATCCCATGTTTCATGGTTTCAAAGATACTTATTCCTTAAAGCTTAGTTTAATTATTTTTTTTAATAAATAAGTAACATATTTGATGTATATAGATTTGACTATATATTAAAAACAGGTAGAAAATACATATGTGGATGATGATGAATCGTGCACAAATATTACATTTTCTATTTTAATTTCTTCCTAATCCTTTTACGCAACTTACGAAATTGAGAAGAAAACGTGTGGTGGGTGGCATGACAGCTGGGCGGAGCTAGTAGCTCGTATGCGAATTTGATTGAACCTAATAGATTTTATTTAAATAGTGTATTTGTATTAATAAATTTATTAAATATGTATAAATATTAAATTTAGAATTCGATTATTATCATTTAAATTCGTCATTGTAAAATTCAGAACTCATAAAATTGAAATTCTAGCTTCGCCTATGAATTGACCGCCGACAAAGATCCTTTCTCACACACTCTAATAATAGGGGCAAAGGTTTATTTGAATCCTATTTGGAGAAAAATAACATAATTTATACATAATTAAAATTAATATTTATATATATATTAGATATTTAACTCTCTTTTTTTTCTCCATATTTTGAACCTTACATGAAAATCTTACCAATAGTTATTAATTATTACCAACACATTATTAATTGACCTATTGGAGACATCAGATCTCAACTTTTCTAAAATTCTATTGTATTAAACTATATATTGAGTACATTACAAGCTTTCAACATGACATTAGTGTTGTCTGATAGTTGCAACCACTTTACAGTTTTAAATTTTTTTATACAATAGAAGCACTACCATATATACATGTAAAAAAATAATATAGTCCAATCTTATCCACATCCAATTAGTCTTAATAAAAAACAATAAATGGTGATAGTTTCAATTATTGGTTATACCGGAGAATATTAGACATCCTCTATAATTAGCATATTTTTCGATAATGATATTGATATCTCAGTAAATAAATATTGACGAGTTGTTTTAAAAAATATCAACATCTTATATATTTTTCGAATATGAAATATGCTAATATAGCAAAAAATTCTCTATTTCCCAATTATATAGAATTTCTTAAAATTCAACGTTTTAAAGTGGAGTTGTGATTTGTGAATGATGTACTGATATTATACGAACATTTAAGATAAACTATGAAAATAATATACTAATTAAGTTGTTGACTAAAAAAAAAGAGTAAATATAACAATTAGCTCCATAGTCCATATCATCTTAATTTCTATGTCATCTCATATAAACAACGTTTCACACACATGTTTTTTGTTTGAAAAAAAAACGACATGCCTAAGCTCTGATGCTATGCTTGAAGCTGATTGAGAGCAAGTTGGCGCAAGGCTCGAGATTAATTGTTGATCTCCATAAAAGTTATATAAGAGTGTCAAACTACAAGATGATTTCTCCCGGGGAAAGGTCCAGTAGGCTGCCCAATTACAGAGCATTTTTATACCGGCTAGTGCTTAATCACTTCAGATTACATAAAACAAATTTAAAAAAATCAAATTTCTCTAAGTTATAACAACCGTTTATTCGATCTTAATTTAACCACGTGTCATGATCTATTTTGTTTTTAATAGACGTCATTTTTTCCCATACATTAAGTAAAGAAGAATTCATTCAATATTGGGTTTTAACAAAATGAAGAGTCCAAAATAGATGTAAACCATTTGTAAAACAAGTTAGCAATGATCGCCGTTTTCTTAAACCACCGCCGTTCTACACCAAACATAATGTCTTCTTAGGTTTTTAGAAAATTTAAAATAGGAAGCCATTTTTCTTGGTTTCCCATTTGGTTTCAATATTCATTTTAAGATTCGACTTCTTTGAATTGACGTAATTTTTTTTTTACTTTGATTAAAGTGCATTTTAAAAACGAAAGCAATTTCATTCATAAGATTCGATCCCAAAATATCTAATCAAAGAGGAACAAAAGACTTATTAAAAATATATATAATATATTGAAATATCTTTAATCATGTGATTTTGAACATATCATTTGATGTATTGAAATAAAAATTTGGAATACCAAATTAAGAAAGAACCGTCTTTTAAAACAAACTTAGTAAAATAATTAAACAAATAAATTGAACCATAATTTGATGATGTGTAAAAAAACGTCCTATTTAGTTTAGAAGTAATATGTGATAGAAATTAATTTAGGGATAAATTGTGTATTAAGCCTAATCAAGAAAAAAGAGGTATCATTTTCAAGTGGTGCATTCTCCACTAATGATATATTTCCTTTTCAACAACTACACCTTTTCCAACTTCTTACTACTTGTCATTCCTACTTTACCAAACCAAAATCTTAAATTCATAGCTAGCGATTATAATTTTTGAAAATTCATCATCAAATATTTTTAACTTTTCCAAAATTGGTTTAAACAATTTTTTGAATTTTAGGATTTCTAGTTACACAATGCCAATTTTTTTAAAAGTAAAATACTTGTTCAACATAATTTTAATTTAAAAATTCCAACTCCAAAAACTACTCAATGTTTTAAGTTTCTTGTGTCCATCTCGAATTATTGACCGTCTTAAAAATACTCATATACTTGACTAACTAAATTTAGATATACTCTCGATCTGCCACATGATATAATAAGTGGTCTCAAACTCTTGAATGAGCATGAAACTCTTAATAACAAATCGAGAGAAGTGTTGAAAACATCCTTAAACATGACGAGAATTTAGGAGTATATTTCAATCATATTGCAAGATTTAAATATGTTTAAGACGGTGGAGATAAAAATAATAATTTGTTACTATATAAAAGATAAAACCCCACATAAGCACTTTCAAGTTTTCAAAATCCCCAAATCACTTTTTCCCCATTCATATAGCTGCCTTTATCATTTTCAACTCCTTCACAGTTCATATTCCTTTTCCTCTCAACAATTCCCATCCCCTTTGCTTTATCAGTTTAAAAATAGTAATACTTTATACAGATTGGGAAAAAGCCAAAATCTTGTTCGTCAAGCCCAATATGTTTTCTTGAAATAGCAAAAAAATGGGTTGAGGTAACAGGAACTTGAAGAAGAAGAAAAAGGGTGTTGATTCGTGTTGTTGTTGAAGAAAAAGAAGCAAAAATGGTGGTAAGGAAAGTTGGGAAGTATGAAGTTGGAAGGACAATTGGAGAAGGAACGTTTGCTAAGGTTAAATTTGCTCAGAATACTGAGACAGGTGAAAGTGTCGCCATGAAAGTCCTCGATCGAAGCACTATCATCAAGCACAAGATGGTTGACCAGGTGGGTGTTTATTTTTTCCCCCTTTTTTGAATTGGGTATTTGAAGAATGAGAAAAAAAAACCCATTGCAACTGGATAATCCATGGATGAAGCTTAAGATTTTAGAGTAATTATTATTCCTAATTTGTTAAATTTATATTTTGTAAATGCTCTATTTGAATTGTTGTAGCAATTTATGGAATAAGTTTTCGATTAATAAATGTGATAAGTTGACTCTTCCAATTTAGATCAATTTGTGAAAGTATTTGAAGTTTTAGTTAATTGTTTAGCAACATAATAGAGTGGCTTTTACTTGTTATTTAGGATGTTAGTTGATTGACCATGGCATCATGAATGCGGGATTATCGGCAATTTGTCGGGCTGCAAATCATTTTAGAGGACCCAGAAAGATGAAATGATATCTGAACTCTGATGAACAGATTCAAGTTAGTTTATAGATCATTTTTTTACAATGTGCGCAAAATGCTTCTAGCTAATAGTCCCACTTTAGTAGATTCGATCGCAGTTCAGCATTTCAAGAGTTCTTTTTGAATGTCAATTTCTAAGCCATTTCTTTCTGTGTAGAGATTCAAATTGTGTAAACTTGTGTTTGTGGTATTAGTTCTCAAGCATATGGTATGGAGACAATGTTTCAGTTTGGATATAATTTGTTTTTTTTGGTTCTCTAATAGGAGCTTTCTGCATTTTCATCTTGCAGATAAAGCAGGAGATATCCATAATGAAGCTTGTTAGACATCCATATGTAGTTCGATTACATGAGGCATGTGCCAAAACAAGTGCCGATGACTTTCAGTTTCCTGAAATTTGTTGCCTGTTTCACTTTTAGGTTACTGGTGTTGGGGAGATTTTTTTTGCTGATGTGCACTGATGATATAAAGAAATTTTGCTGTCAGGTTATAGCAACTCGCACGAAGATCTATATTATCTTGGAATTTATCACAGGCGGAGAACTGTTTGATAAGATAGTAAGTCCCACCTTAAAATGGTCAAGGACAAATGCAGATTATTTTGATTCTTCTTAAACACTTAAGCATATATTCTCCTTTGAATGATTTCTGGTATGCATTTGTAGGTCCACCATGGACGATTAAGTGAGGCCGAGTCTCGAAGATACTTTCAGCAATTGATTGATGGAGTTGATTATTGTCACATCAAGGGAGTTTATCATAGAGACCTAAAGGTACTTGTTAACAGAACGTAAAATCAAGAGAGCAATAAGTTATTATGCATTTAAACGAAAATCTTACTGCCATTTTCCACATTGCTCAGCCTGAAAATCTTCTGCTAGATTCCCAAGGAAATCTGAAAATATCAGATTTTGGACTTAGCGCATCACCTGGTGAAGTAAGGTCTCCCAAAACACTACCTTTTTTCTCTATTACCAAGAATACAACATTATTGGTGTAAGTCTTTATGCTGCTAACTGCTTCTGATAATGTTCTAATAGGGAGTCAACATCCTTAAGACGACATGTGGAACTCCCAACTATGTTGCACCAGAGGTAAGTTAGGCAGCTACCATTATAGTAGTCTTAGTTCTTTGTTACATGTATATCTTTGAATGAGTAGTTTGATTATTGATATGTATCCTTTTACTTAAATATGGATTAAGATGTCCCTTTCATCCTTGTTATTGGACTTTTTTATCAGGTTCTTAGTCACAAAGGTTATGATGGTGCTGTGGCTGATATCTGGTCCTGTGGTGTCATCCTTTATGTTCTGATGGCAGGTTATCTCCCTTTTGATGAGGTTGATCTCACTACACTGTACGCAAAGGTAGAAGCTTTGCATTTTCATGGTTGTGTAAATAACTTAAATGGAATTCCTTACATTCATCTTGCAGCAGTATGATATGATAATCATGCTGATATTTTCACATTTCATCACAGTAAAAGAACATTATTTTATAGTGACGTTTTAATTACCAACAAGTATGTTTGTATTTTTCTGCAGATTGACAAAGCAGATTTTTCCTGCCCATCTTGGTTTCCTGTTGGAGCAAAATCTCTGATACATCGAATTTTAGACCCAAATCCTCAAACCGTGAGTACTCAATCAGAGAATGTACACATATTATATTGTGCCCTTAAAATTTTCTGTTTTGGAAACTTAATCCGTCACAAAGCCTTCAATGCATTGAACTTGTAAAATATTGCAACTTATCCACTCTGTGTAGTATTTATCAACAAACTTTTCAAATCAGAAGCAAGAAAGGAACTTTGGCATAAATCCTTTTCCTTTTCTCCTCACTTCTTCCCCCTCACACAAATTAAACCATATTTGCTCCCTCTGCCAGTCTCCTCTCCACTTTCTTTTTTTTTGGGTTCAAGTCAAATTTCATTGTTATAGAGCTAGATTTTCTCAAAATAATATGTACTAGATGTCTATGTGACTTAAAGCAAGTCGTGCACTGGAAAATATTAAAACTTTTAGCTGTCTATACTATTCTCCATGACTTTTTCTTCTTTTTATATTCATTCTGCTCCATCTCCTTGGCTTCTCATCTAAACCTTACTGTTCCTTTTTATGGTTCATGTGGAAATGGGTGCTTCTATCTTCTGTTTTGTTTCTCTCCAATCAGAAAGAACAGGGAAAATGAATGGAAGGAATCAAGCAAAAAGATTTAAAAAAAAAAACAAAAAATAAATATGCAGGTTCTACGTAGGGAAGTGGAAAGAACAATGAACAAACAAAGGGAAAAGAGAAGAGGGCAAAGAAAGAAACTTGTTGCTATTTGTGCTGCTTTGCTGCTCTGCATTTTTGTTATGTTTCTTTTATTCCCGTGCTCAAATTTCAGTTTTTCGTGATGATTCCCATTGTCATGGACCAAAGCAGCAATCCAGCAACTTCTTCCTTTTGGGTTTCCCCTTCCATTTTTCTTCTTTGTAAAGTCGTTATTGCTGACAGTATCCAAGTGTTCGAACTATTCTTATTTGCATTAGACCTTTTTCCGCACTTCCTTTCTTTGTCTAATTTTTCTATTTTGACCTTACATTTCTTGCCATCGTAGTACTAAAATATCAATAGACATAGAACAACTCAGGAAGACAATAATGGTCGTTTCGTGGAAAGGAAAAAGTTTAAAAGGAAAAGGATTTCTTTTAAGTCTTTATTTCACCGTTATATTGACTTGGCTTATTTTTCCAAATAACGGAATTGTTAAGTTGCAACTTTTAGAAAGTTCTATGGTAAGATGCTAATTTTGCTTATCGCTTCTTGAGCTATTTACTCACTAAAGTATTATACTCTCTATTACATGAATTCATGCTACCTTAGGGTTGCTTTTGGAGTATATTAGCTGGGTGGAGGCTTAAAACGATATACAATAATGTTGACCATGAAGATGAATATAGTCTTCTACTAAACGAACATATTCCTACATTGGCTTATTACATAGTTTTTTCTCTATTTTGTGCAGCGTATTCGGATTGAAGAGATCCGTAATGATGAGTGGTTTAAAAAAAATTATGATCCTGTCAAAGTCATGGAGTATGAAGATGTCAATTTAGATGATATTAATGCAGCTTTTGATGATACTGAGGTTAGTAAGACTTATGATTACTGCCTTTGCTATATAAAACATTTTGATGTTGAATTAGGAATTTAAGTGAAATCTTGCCACGGGTTGCTTGTTGGCAAGCTGGTAAGTAGCTGGCTGAAGCATCACTTTGTATTTGTTTATTGCTCAAGTTGAATGTCCTGCTATCATTAAGGTGAGAATGTTATTGTTTAATGTTGAGTAAGAAAACATATTGAACATATTGGAGCTATCACTTAGATTTAGATGATGGAATAGTTTTGTGAAGGTGCGTTCATTGTAACTTTTTGCACTATTCAGATTCTTTCTGAACTTTTTCCTCTGGAGAAATGGATGATATGCACCAAAAAGTGAAAGAAAGTTCAATTTGATAGGAATTGTTGTAGTGTTTGGTATGATAAAAAGTATTCCATGGAGGTTCTGGTTATTGACTGCTTAGTTCTTTGTTTTCCCCTATTTTATGGCATGTTATAATGTTTTATAGGAGGAAGCATCCAACGAGCAATGTGACAATGCGGATGCTGGGCCTCTGGCTCTAAATGCCTTTGACCTAATTATTCTCTCTCAAGGATTGAACTTATCTATATTGTTTGACCGTGGGCAGGTATTGATTCTAAAACTTCTACCAATTTGACAATTCACAACAGGACTCTGTTATTTCTCTCTTTCATATAGATCAGATTTTATATAGTCCATTAACATATATATCAACTAGTTCTGAGTTGGAGCAATGAAAAGAGGCACATCTTGCTTCGCATTTTCAACTTACCCCATAGCTTTGTTAGTTGCTTGTCATTATTAAGGTGCTGGTCTTCAACTTAGATAAATGAAATGTGGATGCTGGATTTACAGGATTCAATGAAGCATCATCAAACACGCTTCCTAACACAGAAACCAGCAAAAGTTGTGCTATCAAGTATGGAAGTTGTGGCCCAGTCCATGGGTTTCAAGACCCATATCCGCAATTTTAAGGTAGACACTCACCTTTTCTTATTAATAATGGGCATCTCAAGCTTAATCACTTGGGTTCACTAGGTCTTTTTTCTTTTCTTTTAAGTTCTATGTTGCAATTTTCTTGGAGAATTCCTAAGGTTGGTCCTCATTTCTGCTTGTATGTATGTCTCAGATGAGGGTAGAAGGTCTTTCCGCAAACAAGACTTCACATTTCTCTGTAATTCTGGAGGCAAGTTCACATCTTTCCAAAGCTGTTTCAATCTGTGTGGCACTCTTTGTGTGCTAGCTAATATTTATTATTCAGCAGGTTTTCGAAGTTGCTCCTACATTTTTCATGGTAGACGTTCAGAAAGCAGCCGGTGATGCTAGTGAATTCCTCAAGGTTAGTTCAGTCTCATACATATAACATGATCCAAAACTCTCTTTGCTTCTTCCTTATCAAAATGCAAGTGCTTACACCTATACTGTTTTACAGTTTTACAAGAACTTTTGTGGCAATCTTGAGGACATTATCTGGAGGCCACCGGATGAATCATGCAAATCAAGAGTTACAAAAGCAAGGAGTAGAAAGAGATGATATTTTAGCATTAGAGAATCTGTGTGTACTTTGTGTTTGTATAAAAGATTACAGTTTCTTGAACCCTATAGGCAGTGAGTACACTCTTTTATAGTCGAGCCAAGTGAGGGGTAAAGCTTCCACGCTTTCCCCAGGTTTTGTATCAATTATATCGATATGGTGACAATTTAATATCTTAGGCAGAGAGTAAACATAACAAATACTTGCTACTTCTAGAGAAGAGTTTGTCAAGTTGATTATATTTTACCAGCTTCTGTGAAACATTTTCAATTTTCTTATTTCATGAATTTCATATGAACAACAAAGGCAATTGTTGTTAAATCCATGACCTACCCAACATTTGAGCTTTAGCAACTAGTCATTGTTTGGAAAAATGTTTTGTCATACCAAACAAATATAAAGTATATTTTATTTGTTTTTCCTCACTGTTTCACCTAAGTTGATGAAACTTTGCATAAATCATTCAGATTTCCCAGGCAATGTAAATTAACCAAGATCCAAGAACAAAAAGAAGGGTCCCCAAGGTGTTAACTTTCCCCACAAGATTTGTTCTTTTGATATGTTGTGTCAATTGCATTGATTATCTTTTCAAGAAAAGCAGTGTACAGTTGACAAAAGAAGCAATAATGTGGTAAGGTGTGCGTACACTCTATCCTCTCCAGACTTCACTTAGTGGGATTTCACTGAGTATGTTATTGTTGTTATCTTTTCATGAAAAAGAACAAAAATCAAACCTTTGCCCCTTAAATCCAAAAGATGGCATGACAAAACCTTGTGTATAACTGATACAACAATTGGAAATTTCAAAAGTACAGAGAACTCAATATAAGCCACTATTTACTTTTCTGATTTTCCTTTCATATAACAAGCTACATGATCTAAATTCAGTAGATCAGTCAATGAAGTAGAGAACAGAGACTTGATAAGAAAAATGAATTATGAAGAAATTAAGGTAAGTGAAGGCTTTGAGAAAGAATTAAACAAGACTACCAAAATCGCCGCAAGAACAATGTCCATCCACAAATTTGTGCAGCCTTTTACTATCTCTAATGATGATTTTTCTTGAAGTTAGCTGTGAGATGAATTTCATAAAGCTGTGGCAATCTCTACACATGCTAATACTCTTAATAACTCGGATGGGTGCAGCACTCAGTGTGTTCAGCAATCCAAATGATACAGCCAACTTTTCACTGTGACGACCAATAGGAAAAGTTGCCTCATCATCTTCTTCGTTTTTGAGCTCCAAACTTGTGTGTAACTCAAATCCCATTGTACTTGCTTTGTCATGTAAATCACTTAAGAAATTATCTATATTTTCGTATGGAGGATTCAACTGATCACCTGTTCTAAACGAATGAACTTTGTCCCTGATGCTGATCCAGCTCCAATCCTTTAGCTTTCCAATTTTTTCGTCTTTCATTAGCTTTCTCACCCTGGAAACATCCTTCCATCTCTCAGCTGAGAGGTACATGTTTAACAACAAGAAGTAAGCTTCTGAATTTTTCGGATTCAGGCTAAGTAGTTGTTCAGCAGCATAAAAACCTAGCTCTAATTTCCCATGGCTTCTACAGCCTGCTATTAGAAGTGACCATATAAACTCGTTAGGCTCAAAATCCATCTTCTTGACGAAATCAAAAGCTTCATCTATCCTACCTAACCTCACAAACATATCAATCAAGCATGCATAATGGTCCATCACGGGCTTAATTTTGTACTCTTTTTTCATCATGTCAAAGTATGTCAATGCCTCTTTGACCAGTCCAGCATGACTACATGCCGAGAGCACTCCCACGAATGTAACCTTGTTTGGTCTAACTCCTACAAACCTCATATCCTCAAAGAGCTGCAACGCTTGTTTAGAGTACCCATGTTGTGCAAAGGCCGTGATCATAGACGTCCAAGATATCAAAGTTCGTGTAGACATCTCCACAAAAGCTTTACTTGCCCTGTCAATGCTTCCACATTTATTATACATGCTAACTAGGGAAGTTCCCACTACAACGTCCGACAAAAACCCCGACTTAATAACCTGAGCATGAATTTGCTCCCCTTGTTCCAAAGCAACCAAACTACTACATATAGACAACACACTCGAGAAGGTGAATAAATCAGGTTTCATCCCCGAATGATGCAGTCTCAAAAAAGTGTTTAGTGCCTCAAAACCGCTGGAATGTGCAGCAATACCGTCCTCTCCAAGATCCATCATCTGAGCGAGACCTGCAATCATCGCGTTCCATGTAACCAAGCTAATTGACTCCATTCCATCAAACAGCTTCTTTGCCTCTATAATCCATCCGTTTTTCAAGTATAAGTACATTATTGAATTTGTGACTCTTAGATTAGAACCATACCCCAGTTTAATGCTCAAAGAATGAATTTGTGATCCTATCTTTAAAGCCTGCATTATGCAACACAAACTTAGTACACTTGTAAATGTAAACTCATTAGGCTCCACATCCGCACAAAGCATATCAACAAACAAGCTTAATCCCATTGCAGAATCCCCGTTATCTCCACAGGCAGATATAGCTGCTGTCCACGAGATAACATTCTTATCAGCAATCATCCGAAATGCTTTAACTGCAGAATCCAGATTGTGACTTTTGGAATACAAGCTACAGAGAGCATTGCCAATACTTGTGTCATCCCCAAGTTCATACTTCACAACATACGCATGAATCTGCTTTCCTAACTCGAAATGACCCAACAATGAACAAGCATTGAACGCAACACCTAACGTATAATTCGTGGGAAATCCACCCGCGTCCAGCATTTCTTGGAATACGCTAATAGCAACCTCCGGCTGCGAATTCTGAACATAGCCAGACATCAATGATGTCCAGGTAACAACATTTCTTTTAGGCAAATTATCGAATACCTTCCGTGCACTTCCCATCATTCCACATTTCGCATAAACATTAACAAGAAATGTCATGAGAAACAAATCTTCATGGATACCCATTTTGATAATGTGGCCATGAATTGCTTCAGCTTCTGAAACGGATTTTTTCTTGATACATTCTTGCAGAAATGGAACATAAGAAGCTGATTCCACTTTTTCACTACCTTCTTTGATCAGTGAAAGTGCCTCTCTGAATTCAAGATTCAATGGCTCCAAAGCTTTATCCGAGTTTATGGGACTATGATTTTTCTAAATTAAACCACAAAACAAGAAGAACCATTATAAAAAAAACATGAATTATAAAGAAAAAAAAAACAGTCCAATGCACCAGAAAGAGCCGGACCACAAAGGTCTATTGTACACGGCCTGCCTGTTTCCACGGCTCGAACACGTGATATTCAACTTTATCAGTTACGTCGAGACTTGACAATGGAATAAAGTAGTAATTAAAAGGATCAAGAACGTACCTTTTCGAAAGGTAAAGAAGTTACTGAGTTTTTCTTGAATTCATTTTCAAGCTTAAGGGTGTTGCCCACAACTACTGAAGGCAGAGAAGCCATGAATTCGCCACTGACTGTATAAAACTGGGAAAAGATTACTTCATTGTTCTTCAGTTTTATTTTATCTGAAATTGAAAAAGAAAATGTTATCTTTACTCTTTGGATGAAATTGAACTGAAAATCCGAACAGGGGAGACCGGTAGAGATTGAATTTCGTGGACCCCACTCATGATGGGAAAAATGGATTTAGGGCGTTAATCTTAGCGGGAACTATCAAATTATGGATAGTAATCATCTCTTTCGAGAGAGTGTTTGGTACTAAGGATATCGAATAATAAATTCGGGATAGAATATAAAATTATTTTATTTTGTGTTTGGTTAATAACATTAGTTAGTTCCAACATTATTTATCTCATGACATAATTTTGTCTATCCCACCTACCATACCAAAATAACCCGTCATAGTTTTACTTTCTAATTGGAAGTTCTTTTAACAATCTGCTAAAGAAATACTCCTTCAGTAAAGAAATGTGATTAAAATATTATTTAATTTTGTGGTCTTAAATATATTATGTGAAAAATAAGAATTAAGAATTGTCAAAAGGCGAAAGAAACTTATATTTTAAAATAGACTAAAAGAAAGTAAGGCAAACAAATTAAAACTGAGAGAGTTTTTTTTTATGACAAATTTTTTTTTGCAGCCGCTACCCTTTGGTTGCGCACAGGGTAAACCCCTCTCTTCTATGCAATAGCTCGCAAACCACATAGAGAGGTAGCCCACACTAGGCAAGCCCGATACGACGAGCTCAACCCAGAAGGCAAACCCCTTACTTCCGCTGGCAAGAGGTTTCGAACTTGAGACCTCCAACATGGAAGTCCCAAGTCCAAATCATTGGGCCACCTCGAAGGGTAATGGAGAGAGTATTAAATTATGTAGTTTGAATTTTATTTCACTAAAATAAGAACTCCAATAATGCAAGTTATTAGCAAGGACAAATAATGTTTATAATTCAATCAGGTTTTGTTGGAACAAATATTTTAATTAATTTTGAAACTCTTCTCAAGTTTTGATAAAAGTTGCTATGATTTTCAAAGTGAATATTTGCAAATTCATAAGTTTATATTCACTTCAATTTAGTGCATAATATGACACATCATAATTTCATCTTCCTTTCATTTAGAGTAGTTGGTGGAAGTGAATATAATTTGAAATTCTACTTCATATTTATAGTCAACAAAAAAAAAAGTATAGAGTTCCTGATTCTTGTTTGGTTAGAGTGCTGCATTACTGATGAACTGTTTTCTGCTCTTGACTATTTCTGATTCTCTTTATTTTCATCTTATAATATTTCAAGTTATAAATTAGGAAAATAGTTAAATATGGCAACTTGTACTCTTTCCTTTTTAAACATCGAATTATTGACACTTACAAAGGTAGATCGAGAAAGTATTGGAGATAGATGATTAGATAGGATATGGCACAACTTCATATTATCGAAGACATGACCCTAGATAGGAAGGAGTGGAGGTTGGTAGGAGGTTAATAGGGATAGAGTATTGTCTTGCCTTAGTTACCCATCGTCATATATTGTGTCCTATGTTCCAATTATCACAGTACTTGTGCTATTATGCTTTCGTCATTGTTTTCTTTCTCTTGTACTTGAGTTTGATACACTTGAACAGGTGCAATACATTCTACCTTCCCCAGACCCCATTTAGTGGGATTTCACTGGGTATTTTTGTTGTTGTTGAATTATTGATATCTAGAACAGGCAAAAACAAATGGTGCTTGGCTGATTTTTTCTTTTCCTTAGAGCCAAAGTTTGGTAAGATGTATTGCTGGGAGCACGAGACAGATT